CATAATGTCAATCAAAATCACCATCATAATAATCATTACTCACATCATCATAAAAAAGATATTTTAAAAAGTATTGTATATATCTGTAGTGTTGATACGTGTTTTCAATTAAATCTTATTCATTTTTGATAACCATTTACACTAAATATTGCATCAAATTCAACATTTCCTGTCAAGTGACATTTTTATGAAGTACCTTTAAATAAGAAAATAGGAAGATGCTTTGGATTTTCAATTGAATTTTAGTATTACATGAAAAAGTTTAACTGAGTGTACTGCCGTGCTGCCGTATGCACAAGCAATTCTTTGATAAGACTTGCCTTTCTTGTTAAAAACTAAACAACATTGCCCTACATGCAATTTTTTATATTTATTTCTTTCTCAAGGCGGAAGAGGAAAAAGAACGGAGAAAGGAAGAGCGTTTCAAAGAATTGAACAAAAGAAGAAAACTTGAGCAACTGCAAAGAGATGCAGAAAAAAGAGCAAAAGAATTCGAGAAGAAGGTTAGTTTTTAGAAATTTAATCATGGTTGAGACCGGAATGTGATGAAAGCGCATAGTTTTTGTTAGAAATTGCGGAAAGTCATAGATTGATGACGGATGTTAAAGTTGTTGTGCGTACGAGTAAACCACTTTTCACACTGGGAAGCATTAACCTGTCGCACTTAAAGGCAATCTGTCTCGTTATGGATTGGTTAGAGAGAACAATAGCTGGAACAATAGCCTAAACACGATTCCAGCGCTCCGCCATATTTTTTACAATGCGATAAATTAAAGGGGGACTGGAAACAATAAAAAATCCCTTTGCTCTTATAATCAATCAACGTCGTGACAGATTGCCTTTAAACCCAGTATTGGAATTCATCTCTGAATGTTATTCATGTTTGTTTCGTATAGTTTTCATAATATTCGAAAGGTAATAAGTGATCTTCAGTGTAAAATTTTTTTCAGAAGTTGAACACGTAAGAATTCACCAATTCATCGCTGGTATTTGTAATGATAATAATTGGTTACTTTATTGTGGATAGAAGTCATGAAATACTTACTGAATCGACATTAATTCCCTGTTAAAATCCTATTTTGCAAAGCCACAATTTGCATAATTAAACCATCGAAGAACTTTCATTAGAATATGCTAAGAGGTATCGTTCAAAAGTTGTCTCCTATGTTTTGTAAAGGGGGAAGAAAGTGCTTTTATTTCTCAATTGGTGGCGTGGAGCTGCGTGCGTGAGGTGGTCTCAGCTCGGATGTGAGATAGAAGTGATGGGGGGATTTCTCTGTGTTCTTAAGCGAGGTGCTCAGAGGTGAATGTGTGGTCTAATCTCTATCAGGCGTGTTCGTAGTGGTCGGAATGTCAGAAAATTCTTAAAGAGTATTGTTGTTGACGTGTCGTATCGATGCCGAGGCGAGATGTTAGCAGCGATGTGCGGTGCTGTCAGATTAGAGGCAGTGGTTGAGGTGGTGGGTGGGTGGTGTGTGCGTCTGTGTGTGATGTGTAAGATTATTCCGAGGTTTGGTGTGGAGTTGAAAGTGAGAGAACGGTCGGTGGGGTGTATGTTGAGCATGAAAGTTGCGTTTTGATCGAGAAGAGCGAGTTTATGAGGTGAAGGTTGGAGAGAAGTGACGAGTGTCGTGAGCCGTTTCAACAGTTGTGCATGAGGTTTTAAAATTTTGATTCTGTTCTTCATATATTATTATGTTGAACTTTCAACGTGTGTGTGAGTAGAGGTAAACGGATAGGTGTACCAAATTGAAATGTGATTTCAGTTGTGCAGCAAAAAGTCTGTGTGGATGGCCTGTGGGACATCGAGAAGAAGCACTGTCAAAAGGAGCAGTGCATGCTTTCGAAAATTTGCTTGTTTGCTACCTAGCTTCCTTGAAGGTAGTTTAGGACACTGAAAGAAAAAAGGTTATCGGAGAAGCACACTCTTGGTGTATGTTTTACCCCAAATACAAGGAGGAAGTGGTCGAGAGAGCTGACTA